TTAGTACGGAGACTGCCATATGCAACGGCACTTCAACCACATCATAGGGTCGATGTCGTTTGGAGTAGGGACGTCAGCTCAGTGGTTGTGGCATAAATACAAGCCCTCATGTTGTCCCCATTGCTTTCTCTGCAACCAAAAATCCGTCGTCGCCATAGATCATCGGCTTGATGCATTCGAATATGAATAGCGCCTCGATGTGTGGATCTCGGTGGCTGAGATCGTTGGACGATGTGATAAGCCACTCGCCCAGTAGCGTGCCATCTAGAATTATCGCCGTCTTCATCATACGTAAAAATCGTAGGTTTTGCGCCACTTTTGTTCGCGTGACAGCCAAGCAGCAGACGGTAATTCGATTCCCGTAGGTTATCTGCAGTTGAACGCCTGCAAAAGATCTTGAGCCATATGATTGTTGTGTATTCCAGAGGAAACGCTTTTGGGGCGCCACTCTTCTATTTTATAAGCAGAGCCAACGTTCACTCCGCCAGGAAGGCAGATGAGAACATGATGTTACGGTCAGCTATCAAACAGTAGGGTCTGCTAATAGAAGCTGGGGATTGATACGTTCTAACAGTACACTGGGTTATGGTTATAGGTTATAGGCTGTAGTAGATTAGGTTTTTAGAGATTAAAGTGATTAGTCTTAGGCTTAATAAGTGATTTATAGTGAAAGTAAGCTAAAAATATCCTAAAGATAAATATAAAGTTAATTACTAAAGAGCTGTAGAAGTCTAACTATAAACTAGGTTAAAAGTTATACTATATATAAGTTCTAAATAATATTTTTTAACCTTATGATTATTCTAATTTTAATAAGATCTATTTTTACTAAGCATAACTTTTATATTCTTAATATATAAATCTAATCTTTTATATTATTATTATATAATTTATATTATAGTTCTTCTGTTTCTAAATAAATCCTTATCATTTTTATAATCTTATAATATAAGTATCTGATTCTAGCTACTTAACGTTTAAATAGGTTATTTAGTTATTATTCTTATTTATAGGTTATAATATTAGGTTCCCTCTCTAAAGGTCTTATTTTCAAAACTTATTATAAATAAGTTATTAGTCTTAAATAGAGATCTATTAATTATATTTTCTGATTTATTTATAATATTGATAATATATTCAATTATATTTAGAAATTAAATTAATCTAAATTAGCTTTATATTTTGCTTATAATAATATTTTCTATTACTTTAGTTTTAATAATGTTATACCTTATATTTAATATTTTCGCGCGAAATATATATATTATATAGCTAAAAACGTTAAAACTTATTAAGGTTATAAAAACCTAAAACATCCTTATAATAGTATAATAATAGTATTAAGTTATAAGTTTTTTAGGTATAATATTAATATTCTTTAGCTAATTATTTATAATAAAAAAGCTAAATAATTAGTATGAAGAATAAGAGAAAAAAGAGAAAGAAGCTAATAATACTTTATTAAATCTTTATAAAAAGTTAATATAAATTTGGGCTAAAATAGATAAAATAGCTAGTTATTTGTTATATATTTATATGATTTAAAATAAAATAAAGGAACGTTATATAGAGATGTTTTCTTAAAGTATATAAAAGCTAGAGGAGGATAATGTCCTTTTTATATTAAATATATATAAAAGTAATATAATAAAAGATCTTTAGTTTCTTAATATCAAGAATAATTTAGATTAATAAAGTTTTAATATTAACAAGAAGTTTATAAATCTTAATCTTTTAACTACTAATAACTAATTAATATCTTTAAGAGGTTTTTAGTTATATTTTAATATTTTTAATCTAATTAATAGTTTTTTTTATTTTAGCTAATCTATTTCTATTAGTAATCTAATATATCTATAAAAATAGTTAATCTATAAATAGCTTAAGGTGTTTATTAAAATAAATAGTTTAATTAATATAAATATTACTTCTTATTCCTAGTATTATTATTAATAGATTATAAGTTTTTCTATTATATTAATAATATTTTTTATTAGTTTTTATATACCATCTTTATATTTATATTTTTATATGTAATAAAATATTAATATCCTTTTAGTTCTTTAAGATAATTGATAGTTTATTTAACTTTATACTTTAGTTAATCATTTTCTATAATAATAATATTATTAATCTATAATCTATTTAAATAGCTATAATTTATACATATATATTACTATAACTATTATAATAAGTTTTAATATAGCTTTAATAATAATTTTAATTCTTTTTAATAAGCTTTCTAGCTATAGAAATAATAATGTTATACTATTTAATACTTTTAGGTTTTATTATAAAATATTAGTTAAATTAAGCTACTATTTAATTTATGGAAGTTCTTATATTATTATAAGAAATAAAATGCCTATTAATAATAATAACTTAGTAATTATAGATTTTAATATTTATATACTTATTAAAAAGCTTTTAAGTAATTTTAAGAAGTTTTAAAAATTCTTTTAGATCTCTCTCTACTCAATTACTATAATAAAGCTAAAAGTAAGAAATATTATATATAAAATAAAGCTAATTCTCAAAATACTTAATAGAAATATTATTCTAAATATAAATAAACGTAATATTAACATAAGTAGTAATATCTAACTACTTAGTAGTAAAGCTAATTTAATAAAGATTTCATAAGTATATATACATTTAGTCTTTAGTATAAGTATATTAAAATTAAAATATTAAGTATAGATAATCTATAAGTTAAAATAAGTATTTAAAACTATAAATAATTTATTTTAATAAAACTAACGTTTTAAATAGAGTTTTTAATACATATAGCGATGTATTTAAACTTTATTTACCTTATTTTAAATAAAATAAATATATTAATATTTATATAAAGTAAATATATATTAACTTTAAGTTTATAAATATTATTAATTATATTTTACTCAAGTTAAATTGTATTATAAACTTTTAAAAAACTTAAAACTCTTCATATCAACACACCTAACCCCACTTATAATAGTATAAACCGTTATATAACTAGTTTTTAATAACAAAAAAAACATTATAGCAATATATTTAATTTTCCACTAGTTACTTATAAATAATACAAATATTAATATAATCTTTATTAATATAGTATACTTAAAATACATAATTCTATAAAAAAGAAGTAATTAATATAAAAGCTTTTTATAAATGATGTTTAAACAATCTTTATAAAAAAAACTAATTATTATATTAGAAATTAAAGAGAACTCTAACTATTTAGATAATATAAAATATCTTAATACGCTATGAATAAAGAGATAATATAAAGAAATGGAAATTTAAAACAAATAATAAACTTAATAATATTTAAAAATAGTTAATAATTTTCTAAAACAACTAATTAAAGTAAAATAATTATGTAAATTAAGAGAAATAAGTAAAAAACAATATATATATATATAAGTAAAATATTTAATAACAAGTAATAGAAAATAAACAATAAAGAATAAAGCTAAAAAGTATAAAATTATTAAAAGTATATACTAAAAAAAGGAAACTTTTAAACTATAAAATAATAAATAAAACTTTTATTATTATTAGTTACTTTAAATAAATATTAATAGATAAATAGACAATTACTACTTAAAGAGAGAAATACAATAAGATAATAATAAGCTAATTAGTAAAAAGAAATCTTTAAATTTTAATAATAAATAAAGAGTTTCTTTTAATTTATAAACTTATGAAGTAATATAAGTAACTTTAATTAATTAGATAGTATAAAAAACTATATAAGTACATATAAAAATAAAATAATTTAAATGGTTTAAATATAATTAAACGTTAGCTTTTATTATATAAAGAAAACTATAAAAAAACTATTTAAAAATAATTACATGTATACATTTTAAAGATTAAAGTTCTAAAGAGGGGAGTAATTATAAAAATTACTAAGTAAAATTACTAATAAGTATTTAGTAAAACTTTAGCTAATAAATAGTAAAGAAGTATATAAAGTAATATCTAATTAATAATAATTAGAGAGTTTAACACTTTTTTCTATTAAATAATAACTTATATAGTTAATTAGAATTAGAGAAAGACTAGAAGCTTATATACTATAGTTCACTCGCGCTCTATAGAATAAAAGAAAAAAAGCTAACAGCCCTATTTAAGCTTAGATCTATAGCTAAGACGTGTTTGCACATATAGAGGTCTGCTAAACGTAGCAAACCAATTGAGAAGCTGAGATGCGGCAGGTTTTGATAATTTTGACTCTTGAAACTCAAAGCCCTTCTGGAACGACACAATCTCTAGTTCACACTAAAGCGCGAAGCAGCCGCCAAGGCGATTCGATTTACAGAACAGAGCAAGACACTAGGGCAATGCCGGATCGGGCGCAAACCAGACGAGTCTTAGCATTGGGGGATTGTACGTACGCTGAACCGTTACACGAGGTGGAAGACCTCAACAGAGCTTAAACATAAACGCGGTCTACACGAGGGTACCAGCCTAATGTAGATGATGTTGAAGAGTAAAGGGGGACGGACATTGGGAGACAGCTAGTCAATGTTTTGCATTGGCGAAGTGGGGCGCCACGGAGGAACGTCCGGAGGGCGCCGGCTGTTTGCTTAACCCCACTATCCGGGCATAACTGCTGGGCAAAGAGCGATTGAAATCGAGTGGGATAAAATCAATCAATTATGCAGTACGAATGTCTTGTCATAGCCGCCTGACGCCCACATAGGTCGGTCAACTGTTATCCTTGTGTACGGGTCGACAGTGTTGAGCACCTTTGCTTGCCCCGGAATCCTTTGTGTCCTACGCACTTTCTGCTCATATGCCAGTAAGACTCTGATTGGAAATAAATTCAGCGCTGCTGTCTCTAACTATTTTCTATTTGTCAATGCACTTTGCTAGTTCTCTGCTCATTGTACTGGACCTTCTCGCGCTACTCAGACGTCTGACGAACCTGTGAGAACGGCAACTGATTTTGAACCCCGCGATATTATTCCATTGAACGCCCCCTATTTCCCTGACTATCAGTCTGTCTACAAATGCTTGCTCATACCCTTCTCACTATTGTCTGAGATAACTACTATGTCCATTTCACTAGCTTCCTTGCCCAAAGCATCGTCTTGATCACACAGTGCCGCAATTTGTTCTAATGTCAGGCCTCGGGTTTCAATGTAGTAGAACCAGACAGTCGCAATCATCACGACCAATATAACGAGGAAGACGAAGTAGTACTTCCAGCCGATGGCGTCTAGGGCGATAGGGTTGACGAAAATGTTGAAGAAATTGAAAGAGTAACTTGTGAGGAACATTGACGCAAGTCCCTTGGCGCGCAGGTTGTACTGCCATATTTCAACTGGGTATGCCGTTAAGAAGGGAGTGAGAGCAATATCGTAGCCAAAGTAGTAACTAAACACTTGTAAGAAAGGGCGATCAAGTGGAAGCTGGAAATCGTACATGAACAGGAAGGGAATGACAGCGGTACCAGTCGCAGCGTTTCCAGTAGTGGCGAAGGCACCAGACAAAGCTGTGATGATGATATATGCGACAAGCATTATTATTCCCTTTCACAAAAGAATGTCAGTCAGGTATTACTAAAAGGTCGGTAGGCCAGGAAGGCCAGGCATCCCATACCGAGGCGAGGAACAACGGACGACGCCCAAGCTTGTGGACTGAAAAAGCTGCTGCGGTAGCCCAGATCAGGTTCCACACCTGTAGGCATGCAGAGATAAGAGTCTGGTGCGTGACAGACGTGATTCCAACTGTCGTCTAGGTTTTGTTAGTTATCAGTCGGCAAGAGGAGTACAGAACTTCACTCACTAAGACGCCAGTGAGGTAGTAAGACACGGTCCCGCCGCCCGACCATTGAGAAAAAATGGCCAGTGAGACTGTGATGAGCATACGCCTCCGGTTTCCAGGCGTTTTTATCAGGTCCAGCCACGAAGAGTTCTGAGCCTTCTTCTCAGTGTTGAGGGCGGTTTCGATCTCTGCCATTTCGCGCAGCACAATTGGCGAGTTTAGATCCCCCGCGGCGTGGTTCTTAGCTAGGATTCGCTGGGCCTCGTCGTTGCGGTCTCTGGACACGAGCCAGCGAGGCGACTCGTCGATCAACAGAAACCCTGGGAGAGCAAGTAGAGGCATGGCAACCTGGAGAGCAGATGGGATTCTCCACGCCCACCACGACGGGATGTTGCGAGTAGCAAAGGTTGCCCAGCCCGCTGTTACGGCCCCCACATACCATCCGCACATATAGAGCGAAGAGGCTGTTGCCTGGTGCGCAGGATAAGCCGACTCGGCGAGGAGCAGGGGACAGGCAAGGAAGAAGCCCGATGCAAAACCCAGCAGCAGTCGGGCGACGACGAAGGGAGCGTCCCTGTTGGCAGCCGTCTGAATAGCCGCCCCGGCGAACAAAAACAGGTAGCCAACCCAAACCCCGGGCTTACGGCCATACCTATTGCACATCCATGACGATATGGGATAAGATAGAACGCAGCCCAGGGCGTAGATAGCGTTGATAAAGCCGAGCCAGGTTCCCGTCGGGTAATTCATGGCTTCTTTCCACTGTGGAAGGGCGATCAGACCGTTCATGAGGGATCCATCGAAGCCATTGGCTGAAGAGAATAACGTTAGGGAAAAAATGCAAAAGTTCAACCTACGGAGATGGGCCTCCCGGTACCACGGGGTGTTGGTCTCGGTCATATTTGCGTCGTTGCAGTCGTTAGCCGGAATGAAGAAAGCAGTATGTAGGGGAGGGCATGAATACGACATGTTCGCATTGGTGCAGTAGTCAAGGCGCTGTTCTTATACTCGCCAGACCACGTTGGCATACACAACAGCTAATCGCTCCTAGGGATGCACCATACCATGAGCCGGCCACGTTGACCCTGACTGGTGTCAACATCCCCCTGAGCTAGCTTATCTCCCCTTCCCCGTTGACCGTTCTCCCTTCACAACAAAACCAACCCTCGCGGAGAGCGACTAAAGTTGTGACATGCAATATCAGGCAAACCAGCCCTGAAATCACCTCAAGAAGTCTGGACCAACCTCGGGGTGCCAATGTTTTGTTACTGCCCCGGTCGGCTAAATCATCCGAGCGGTTCGCACGACTTAGCGAGAATGATAGCTCCCCTTCTTCATATTGTGCCTTGATACCATTAAGAATGGGCACCCCAGGTCAACCAATACCTTTCCTTACCCCATACTCGGTGGCCAAGAACGAACGACTGCTTTCTGCTACCAACAGTAGTTGCTGGAGTTGCTGGAAGGCCACTGGATACGAAGTACCCCGCGGGGAAAAGGTTTTAGCGTGGCATGAATCGTCACTTCTGATAATAAGACAACGCTAAACATAAGCCTGGCAAATGGGGATACAGGGTATGTAATACCCGGATATAGTTGCGTTTTTACAGCTTGACATCCTTACTCCTCCTCCAGGATCTCAAATGTTAGCTTGGACAGGGTCCTACTGTTAACGTTACTAGAACATTTAGGTGCTGGTATAAGTAGTGGCCCCCTTAATAAGCTAATAAGTAAAACCCTATAGAAGGAGTTTTAGCGTAAAATCTATTCTAGATAGGTGGTTAATTATATACCTCTATATTATATTAAGTTATTTCTAATTAAAATTAACTTAAAAAATAAGTAGAAGAAATAAATTCTAATAGCTTACTTAGTTTATAAAGTAAAAAGAATTAAAGTATAACAGTTATAATATCTACTATATATAATACTACCTTTATATAATATTTAAATAATTAATATTAAAAGTTTAATTATTAAGTAGTCTTTTAGTTTACTTTATTAAACTTAAATTATAACTATTAAAATACTAATATATAGTATAAAGTATACTATATAGTTATAATATAGCTATATAGTATTTAGTATTAATATATAATATTCTTTTATAATAACAATAATAATAGAATAATAATACTACTTAACTTATTTGTATATTTTATATTAAATAAATAAGTAAAGCTTAAATTATTAAATTTTATATTAGAATACTTTATTTAGTATAACTTATAACTATAATATTAATTATATAATATGTATAGTTATATAAGCATTTTATATAATTAGTAGTTAAATAGGTTATATTTTAAGTTATTTTTTCCCTCACTTTTCCCTACTAGAGGAAATAACCTACCAACTATAATAATAGGAATTATTATAATATATCAGTTTCTTTATTATTATCTATATAATTAAATGCCTATATATATTTAGTATTATATTTTTATATTATATTATGTTTTTAATATTTTTTAATAATCTCTACTTCTTAGTAAATAAAGTACTAACTAAAGTGCTTTTATTAGATTTACTTATTATAAACCTTTTTATAGAGTAAGTTATACATTCTTTTTGATTCTATATTACTTAATAGCTTCAATAATATACCTATAATACTAAATCTTATATTTAATTATTTATAGAAAATAGTATATTACTTTTATTTAATAAAACATCTCCGATAGAATAGTATTTTATATTAATATATTTAAATTCTACATAGAATTTAAAAAGCTTCAGGTAGCTTTTTAACTATTAAATTATTTATGAAGTAGCAATATACTAAAATACAGTAAATATTTAAATTAGCTTATTAGATTAAGTATTTCTTAAATATTTTATAAGTTTAATAGAGTACGTATTAATATATTACTATCTAAAAGGAAACTTTAAGCTAATATAATAGAATAGTATAGATACTATAATAGGGTAAAAAAGAAAACTTATCGCTTATACTAAGCACTCTACTTAGAGTAGAGAAAACCTCCTAAAAATCCCTGAATACTTATATATCGATTTTCTAGATAACTATAAGAGATATAAAATAAATTTATAAATATAAGCCTAACTAACTTATACTTTATCTATACTTTCTACTCTTTTTATATTTTAAGTTATATAATCTTTTAAAAAAGATTAAGCTATTAAAAAGAAGTTTAATAGTACTATTTTTATAATATTCTACTCTATTTTAGCTTTAAATAACTAAAGAAGTATAATAAGTATTAAAAAAAAGAATAAAAAGTAAAGCTAATTAAAGCTAAAAAAGCCTAAAAATACTTATTTTAGCTAATTTTTAAAGTATAAACATTAGTGAATTTTTATTATGAACTACGCTAAAAGATCCTAAAGGGTTTTTACAAAATTAATTACTAAAGTTATTAAAAAGATTAAAAAAAGTATAAAAATAAAGATATTTCTTATTTATTTATTTAGTTTCTTTTATTATAAGCTAACTAAGTTTCTATTTATTTATATATATCTTCTCTTTTTATAATAACGTTTAACGTTTATAAAAACGCTTATCTAACTTTTTATTTTTAGGTTAAAATTATTAAAAATTCTAAAAACTTTATCTCTTTCTATAATTCCCCAAACCTTTTATATACGAAAGAGATAAAAACTTAATTAATTTTATTTTATATATTTAATCTATTTTTTTTTAGCTTTTAGTTTATGTTTTGTATTTTCTTGATTAGTAGCTAATTTTTGTATTAGTTCTTTTTTTAATTTAAATGTAATTATAATCTTCTCTTTAAATTTATTCTATTTATCATATACTAAATATTTTTTTTATATAGTTAGAACTTAAAACAATATCTTAAAAGTATATGGTTTAAGCTATATCTTTAATTAGGTTATTTTAAATAATAAAAAACTATTTTAAAATTAAATTGCTAAACTTATTAGTTTTAAGTAGTTTAAGCTTTTTAACACTTTCTTTAATCTTTTTATAATAAAAACTTCTTTTATTTATTTTCTATTTTAATTTATATATCTTTAACTTTATTTAATCCTTATTCTAAGTAATCTTTTCGTTTAGTTACAAATTATAAAATTAAAGTTATTATTATAAATTATATTTTTGATTATATTAGTTTTCTTTTTAAAGCTTAAATCTTCTACTTTAACTTTAATTAACTCCTAAATAACTAGAGCTAAATTAAGTATAGTTTCTCTAAAACCTAAGTTTTTATTAATCTCTTATTATTTATTTTTCAAAGTTTTCAGCTAATCCTCAAAACTACTTTTAGGTTTTAGTTTTAAGCTTTTAATTAAGCTACTATAAAAGCGAAACTCTTTAGTAATAAGTTTAATTTAGTTGTTAAGAAAGTTTTCATAAAATTTAAATTAATTTCTTAAGCTTTAGTAGCTATTTTTAAGTATAAAATCTTACTACGAAGAGTATTTTATTAGATAATATGTCTAATAAAGTCTATAGCATACAAACTATGTTTCTATACATTCTCTTTTAATTTAATCTAAAATAATAAAATAATAAAAGAAATATAATGAATAAGCTTTTAAATCTCTATTAATATTTTATAGATTTTGTACTAATTATAAACTAATTTAACTATAATTTTAAAAGAGGTTTTTAAATTACTTATATTATTATTATTAGTAATATTTTGTATACTATTTAAATAGAAATATAAATTATACCTTTAATTAATAATTAAGTTTATATATCTTCCTCTATTATTATATTATAAAAAAATAAAACTATACAAAATAACTTTATTAGCTAGAGTATTATAATACCTCACTTTAAAGTTATTATAAAAAGAAATTTAAGTAACAAAAGCTTTTATATATTATTTTTTAATAATATCTCTAATAGTTAAGTTATAAACTACTTTAATATAGCTTTGTAAGAGAAGCCTATCTCTATAGAAACTTAAATATATTATAGAAGTTAAGAAAAACCTTTATTTATATATTTTACTACTAAATTCCCTAAATTAAGTTTTTATCATTAGTATAAAAGAATCTACTTTATTAATATTTAGTTAAAACTATATTTATAAGGTTATTATTAATATATATCTATTTAGATATAAAGGAAAATCTATTTTATTTAAACTTAAATACTCTATAAAGTCTAAAAAGTGTAACAAAAAACTTAATAAGCTTTACTATTTAAAAATAATTCTAAAGAGTCTTTTATTAAATTATATAAACTAAATTTATTTAGTTTTCTTAGTTTAATATGTATTATACTAAAGTAATTGAAATAGAAATCTAGGAGTTACAACAGCTATTTTATTTATAGAAGTAGAGTATTTAAATTTATTACTTATAAAATCATATTTAAAGAAACTCATCAGTCTTTATAAATATATATAATATAAATTGTAAACTTTTACTTAATTCTATTAATCTAATTCATATTCTATATAGTTTTATAAACTTTTTAAGATTTAAAATTATAATTTCTAAATAAAAGAAACTAAAGAGAAATAGAAATAGTCTAGTGAAATATTATATAAAGTTTTATAATAGCTTTTAAAAAAGGCTATTAAGTTGTAAATATATAGAATTAATTAAATAGGCTTATATTACTACTTATTTAGATTATAGTAATTAGACACTTTAGAAAGAAAAAAAGAATTAAAGAAATAGATTTATAAAAAATAAAGAGGTATTAATTATAATACTAATAGTTTTTATTAAAAATTAATAAAAGTAAGCAGAAAAAGAAGAGGTATAAGTTTTAAAATATATAAGTAATAATTAAGCTTAATTAGAACATTATAACTAAATATGAAAATATCTATTAAAATAGGGTTGTTATTATATATATAAATATATAAAGATATTTAGTAGAAAGTTAATAAATTGGAATACCGCTTTTTATAGATATTATTAAAGTGAATTTAGCGCTAGTAGTTAATATT